ATAATAAAATCAATTCGTTGATAACCTATTCATTCTGATCCACACAAAATAAAAATAATTGTTATCACCAATTAAAAATACGCTCTCCCGAATTTAATCGGTGACAGTATAACATGCTATTTTTTGATTTTAGTCATATCCCAAAATTCTCATAATATTTGATTAATAATTTTGCAATGTCTAAACACATATTTAGATTTTATTTGAGATTGTGCACATCATGTGATTTTTGACATAAGAAAAATCATATTAATTTAGACATTTTTGTCAAATGCTATTTTGACTTTAGACAACCCAAAAACAATTTAGACGCCCATCTATAATTGCATCATAATTATATATCAAATATTTTTTGAAGCAAATATAATGGCACATTAGTAAAATTACTTGTTATTCATTGCTTAATCTTAATTTTTTGTGAAGGAATTGACTCACTGTTTCTTTTAAAAGTTTATTAACAAAAAGAGTATAAATTTATTTAACTTTCCTGTTTTCGAAATAATTTTTTTACAGAACTTCTCAGTAATGTTCCTCCAAACTTCTAGTCATTTTCTGTATGTAAGTGCAATATTACATTACATGAGTGTTTTGATATATTGTTACTTCAAAATCCAGAGATGCCCGAAAGTAAAGTTTTTTCTTATTAAATAAAAAAAAATTTTTTTTAATAAAACAATTTAATTTTCCCCACCGTAATATTACGTCCATAAATTTTAATATGTAAAGTTGTAATATTTGCATAAAAAATTATGTAATATTTACACTCAATGTAATAATTGCATAATTTTTGTATGCTCATTTGCATAATATTATGGGGCCCGCCGTAAACTTACGTAAATAGTGTAATAATTACGTAAATCCGCGTCAGAAAAAATTTCCTGATGCATGTTATTTTTTATTTGTTACGGCCATGTTACCTTAGGAGAGAAATCTTTCAATTTGCCGATTTTTACCCAGATCTATATATCAGTATAGGTTTTTATCTACTTCTATCATGGATTGTTAATTAAACTTACCTTTTTTGTAACAAAGGTTTTAAACGTGTACATTGATTTGTTGTATATGCATAAAACCAGAACAATGGTGAGGAATTTTTGGAAGGAACCTTATATTTTAATCATTCAAGATACAATAGGTTTATCACATTATAATTTTCAAGATCTAAATGACAATTTATCTGACAATGAATCTGAAAATCTATATGAAGGCAACACATTAACCATTGATAATAATAATGACAGTGAGCAGGAATATAATTCAAATGAATTGGCTTCATCACTTGTGATAGCACTAAATAATTCTAATTTGTAGGATTGCGTTTTGGACTATATAAATTTTTTAAATATGATTGCATGACAGTTTAAGATTTTTATGGTTTTGCCCAGTTTTGCCATAGTTTAGGAGTTTCTCATAGTTCAAGCAGTTTCTAGTTTAGGAACTTAAATTCCTAATTCCTGTAGGTGAAACTATTTTGGATTTAATAAAATAATTTCAGCCCCACCATCATTAATCCAAATGATGATGAATGGAAAAGTATCAAAGTATATATCCAAAAAAATTTTTTTTGTATTACTGTGTTATGAATAACAAGAACACCTTATGCCAGAAAGATATTAATTCGTGAGAGAAGTACGGTGCAGATCATCTATAATCATTAATTGCTTATAGTAACAATTGGTCAACTTCAAAATACTAAAACAAAAAA